CGGAGTGGCTACCACGGAGTGGCTACCACGGAGTGGCTACCACGGAGCCTGGTCCACGCTGCTCAGCACAGCAGCACGATTTTCTCCATGTGCGGACACCTTCTTACCTTTGCTCTTCCCACGGACCCTACAGCACAGGCTTATGACCAGGAATTTCATGGCCTGAGTTCAAATCCAGTTGTTGCCTCTTCGCTGGTCACCTGACCAGTACACTGGTCCCCACCACTAAGATACTGCCGGTGATGGTACCAGCCTTCCCGGGTTCTGGCGGCCTGAACAGGATGACAATGCTTGGCCTAGATTTGGCCTCAGCCAATGGAAGTACCGGTTGCTCCCACTTGGTAGATGGATATGTTGAGGCACCACAGGAAAGAGATATGCCTTCAAGTGTCCAGCTCCAAACTGAGAAATACCCTAGGTGGGTCTGATGCCATGGCCCATGTCTGCACGCCATCACCTTGTCTCCTACATATCAACTGGGAGAGCTGAGGGCTGGGAAATCTGTGGAGTCTGGAGGTCCACAGGGCACACCCCACCCCTGCCTGGTTCTCCTTTGCTCTTGGGTAAGGGGATGCCATGTGGGGTCCTCTTCCTCTGCTGACTCCAGGCCAGGAGCACTGAAACCATTGGTTCCCAAAAGCCAGCTCTGCCTCCTCCTCCCACCCAGCCTCGCCTGATGAAAATGCCAACTGAGAGAAAAAGATTTTGGGGGTGACAACGAAACTGTCAATAAAATCTGGGACGAGAGCTAAGGAGTGACAGTCAGTGACGGTTGAGATCTGCTGGGAAGGAAGGCGGCAGGCATGTGCTGATAGCAGGATGCTTCATCCTGAGCGCAGCCCCAGGGAGAGCCATGCCCAGGAGACCGGCCCTGCCCCAGTAGCACACGGACTCCAGCTGCTGCTCTGGGTAAAACAGTCTGAGGTCACAAAGAGAAGTACCTGAACTTGGGGTTTCTCCAGCAGTGGCTATCCCCTGGCTCCTCTGAGTGCTGAAGGTTGCCAACAACCTGGAAACTTCCCTGCTGGGAAGGTGAGAAGGAACTGTGTCAAGCCAAAAGGACTGGAAGGGTCTGGCCCCCAGCACCCTGTGGTGTGGTTTTATTAGAAAACTCAAGTCTTTGTAGATGTATTCAAGTTAGCTAAGGTTTGGGGTGTGTTCTAACCCAGGGACTGGTGTCCTATGAAAAGACTCCCAAGATGCAGTGCGGGCAGCGGGCACTGTGCTGCACAGGGAAGACCCAGGGGCCATACCTGGCTACTGCTAGAAGTCAACAAGAAGGGAGCCACTGGCACCAGGAGGGACGAGGGCAGCCTCTAGACTGTGAAAAATTCTGCCAGGTGGCTTTTTTTTCTTTATTACACACAGGATTTGTTTGCTAAACAGCCCCTGGCAGGAGAAGTGCTAAAAGCCAATATATTCATTCCCTCTCTGGACAGGGCAGACAATCGGAACCCTAAAGCTGAGAGGTCCCTTTAGCAGCTCTGACACCTCCGTGTGTTCCCCCTGGTATCCCTGCCAATGTTTGTGACTTCAATACCCATTGCCCTCCCCTCTTCCCATCCCTCTTTCCACCAGAGAACTTCCCTGCCCTCCTCCTCCATCACTCATGCAGGCTCCCCCAGACCCCTGACTTTTGGTTGGTCCAGATCCTCCAGCACACACTGCAAGCTCCATGTGAACCATCGTGTGCTGGACTGTTTGCATGGGGGACCTCTGCTGTCTAGCATGCCCTCCTTCACCCAGGGGCTGGAGACTCAACTGGGAGAGTATCTGCCTGGCATGCATGAAGCTGTGGGTTCAATCCCTGGCAGCACATAAACCAGGCATGCTGGCAAACACCTGTTACAGCATGTGGGAAGTAGAGACAAGACAGTCAGGAGTACGGTCATACTACACACTGAGCCTGAAGCTAACCTGGGCTACTGAGACTCTGTCTTAAAAAACAAAACATCCAGATGCCACATTCAGGATGCCCTCTCCTTGCCCCCTCCGCATCCCTGTAGCCACTACAGGCTGAGCAATCACCCCTCTCTCTTCAGGCACCCTTGGGAAGTCAGACCCCACAGCTCTGTCGCACCGCTATTTGCTTACCTAGTTCTGAGTTCATGGGGTGTGGCCACGTCTCACTCAGCCCTCAGCTCCCAGTTCACGCCCTTCCGAGAGGCTGAGGGACAGTGACCTCTCCTGGATCCCAGAGCTGGGCTTGTGTTCCCTCACCAGCTGGCTGGCAGCTCTGTCCCTCTGAGCCTTGTCCTTCCCTCTGGTCAGCTTGTGGTCCTGGGCTGAACTGCAGAGAACCCGTGGTTCTCATCTGTCATCGTAACCATAGAGATTAACACAGCACTCCTCTTCCACAGAGCCACACCCTGGCCCCTCCGTGGATGTCTCAGCCACGCACATCCCTGATGCTACATTGGATTCTTGGTACTCTTTATATATGTGTTGTCCTCCCAATCGGATGCTAACTCCCTTACCAGCAGGGACCGTGCCTGTCTTAGTCAGGGCTTCTATTGCTCTGATGGGACACCATGACCAAAACAACCTGGGAGGAGTTTATTCGGTTTACACTTCCACATCACTGTTCACCATTGAAGGAAGTCAGGGCAGGATCCTGGAGGCAGGAGCCGATGCAGAGACCATGGAGGGTGCTGCTTACAGGCTTGTTCCCATGGCTTGCACAGCCTGCTTTCTTATAGAACCCAGGACCCAAGGATGGCCCCACTCACAATGGGCTGGGCCTCCCCCCATCAATCACTGATTAAGAAAATGCCTTACAGCCTGATCTTATGGAAGCATTTTCTTAGTGCGGTTCCTTCCTTTTGGATGACTCCCGCTCGTGTTGATAGAAAACCAGCCAGCACAATTGACCCCTTGTCAGCTTGACACAAACACATCACTGTTAAGCCGTAGCTTTTCCTTTCTTGTTCTTCCCCAAGATCACACATTAATATCAATTTTAAAAGTCCTACACTCTCTAAAAATTCAAACATTTAACAATTCAGTCTCTTTAAAACAGCCAGTCTGGGGGGTAATGAGGGGGAAGGTGGAGGGAGTGGGAGGAGGGGAGAGAGTGGGAACTGGGATTGGTATGTATAATGAGAAAAGATAGGTTTTTAAAATAAATTAATTAATTTAAAAATAAATAAGATAAAATAGCCAGTCTCTTTTAAAATCGAAAGTCCTTTTTTAAAAAGTCTACCAACTTTGGGCATCTTTAACCTAAAAAATAAATATTTAATTAAGTATTTTCTCACTTTAAGAGGAAAGAACCGCTCACAATCTGAGCAAAGCCAAAACAAACTCCAACTACGCAAATAATTCAATGTTCAGTAGTATCTAGGAGTCACTCACCATCTCATGGGCTCCTCCAAAGGACTCGGTCACTTCTCGGGCTCTGCCCTCTGCAGCACACACAGCTTGTCTTCCAGGCTCAGGCTGGCTCTGCTCCACTGCTGCTGTTCTTGGTGGCCATCCCATGGTACTGGTGTCTCCAAAATGCTGGGGTCTCTGCTGCAGCTGGGCTGCACTTTCACCAACAGCCTCTCCTGGGCTCTCTTCAGGGACTCCAGCCCTGCCACACAGTGCCAGCCTCAGCTGCTCTCCATGACCCCTTCAGGCCTTCAAAGCCAGCACCACCGGGTGACTCTTGCACTACCAAGTTCAAGGCCAGCATGAGGTACAACCTCGGCTGCCTCTGGACCCCAGCTTCTGTGTGCTGATCCTGAGGACGCACTTCCCAGGAGACTTCACCTCAGTGATGCTGGTCTCTTCTTGATCACCAATAATCTCTTATCTCTGGCTGACCCGCATCCATTGTTTCAGTAAAGCAAAGGTTTTACTTTAGTGATTCTAGTCTCTTGTTAATCACAGCTGATTCATCAGTCCCAGCCAATCAGACAGCACAGAATCTCAACTCAAAAGAGTGATCTTTAAACTTCTCTCTGAAACTTCATAAGGTCTTAGTCAGGGTTTCCATTGCTGTGAAGAGACACTATGACCATGGCAACTCTTATAAAGGAAAACATTTAATTGTTGTGGTTCACATACGGTTTCAGAGGTTCAGTCCATTATCAACTAGGACTGATACGTATTATCATCTATGTGTCTAGGTGAGACATAGAGGCAGGCAGCAGACATGGTGCTGGAAAAGGAACAGAGTCTTACATCTTGCAGGCAACAGGACATGATCTGAGTGTTACACTGAGGGAAGCTTGAGCAAAAGAGACCTCAAAGCCCACTGCCACAGTGACAGACTAACTCCAACAAGGCCACACCTCCTAACAGCGTCACTCCCCTTGGGGGCCATTTTCTTCCAAACAGCGCAGGTTTCCATCAGCTGTACTCTTCTCAGCAGTCTCCTCCTCCTCCTCCCAGGCCCCACGGAGCAGCCCTGAGCTCTCAGCACTCACTGGCTTTTCCATCCCCGTGTCCTCCCACAGTCCTCCCCATCCCCATGTCCTTCCACAGTCCTCCCCATCCCCGTGTCCTTCCACAGTCCTCCCCATCCCCGTGTTCTTCCAGAGTCCTCCCCATCCCTGTGTCCTTCCACAGTCCTCCCCATCCCCGTGTCCTTCCACAGTCCTCCCCATCCCCATGTCCTTCCACAGTCCTCCCCATCCCGTGTCCTTCCACAGTCCTCCCCATCCCTGTGTTCTTCCACAGTTCTCCCCATCCCCGTGTCCTCCCACAGTCCTCCCCATCCCCGTGTCCTTCCTTCCACAGTCCTCCCCCAAACACCTTCAGTACCATCACCGCAGTACCCCACTAAACTGGCACCCATCTTAGTCAGGGTCACTGTTGCTGTGATGAACACCGCAATCAAAACAACTTGAGGAGGAAAGGGTTAATTCAGCTTACCCTTCCATCACTGTCCATCATCAATGGCAGTCAGGACAGGAACTCAGCAGGGCAGGGACCTGGAGGCAGGAGCTGAAGCAGAGGCCATGGAGGGGAGCTGCTCAGCCAGATTTCTTATGGAACCCAGGACCACCAGTTCAGGGATGGCCCCACCCATCCTCATCAATCACTAATTAAGAAAATGCCCTCTAGCTGGATCTTAAGGAGGCACTGTCTCAATCAGGGTTCCCTCCTCTCAGGTAATCTAGCTTGTGTCAAGGTGACATAAAATTAGCCAGCACAGCGTCATTTTCAGGGGGTCTTGAGCTCAATACCTTTAGTCGGACTGATATGAAGCCCTGACTGCCCACCCAGGATCTAATCCAGTGGTTCTCAACCTTCCCGATGCTGCGGCCCTTCTCATGTTCAGCTCCTCCCCGAACCGTAAATCATTTGCATTGCTGTTTTAGAATTGTGATTTTGCTCCTGTTATGAATCATACTGCAAAGATCTGTTTTCCAATGGTTGTAGGTTATTCCCGCAAAAGGCTCATTTGATCCCAAAGGGGTTGCGACCCACAGGTTGGGAACCACTGACTAATCCAACCCAGGGATTGGAGCTGACGTAGAAACCACAGGTGGAGGCTGCCTCCACCCAGCTGTGCCCAGCAGGCTGGGTCACCTCCCCACTTAGAGACTCAGTTTCCCTCTGCAGCCTGAGGGGCAGTTCCTACTTCTCCGGGTGTCATCTGATACACAGCGAGCGTCAGATGGGTCAGCGGGTGTCTGACCTCGGAGACCTGGGCCTGACACCAACTGCAGCCCTGCCTGGCTGGATGCCACTGCTATGCCCAGCACCACTATGAACCCGTGTGTGACAGACCTCAGCCTTGAGAGCTGCTGTGGGGTGGAAGGAGGCCAGAAGTTCACAGTTGGGAAAAGGAAATTCAGCTGGGAAGTGGAGGCTGGGTTGTGTTGTGTTGTTTTAGAGAGACTCTCCAACCCAAGAAGACCTGGCGCCTTCGATCCCTCTGCCTCAACCTCCTCAGTGCTAAGATTCCAAGTGTGTGCCAGCAAAACCCAACACGTGGCTGACTTTTATTACACCGGGTTAAAAACAAGTTACATTATTCACTGTCTATGTATATACAGGCATATGAAGGACACATGTCTATGGATACTATATGTGTAGTGCTGCACATCCCACCGTGAATGCGTGAAGGTCAGAGGATAACTTTCAGGAGCTGGTTCTCTCTCCATCATGCGGGTCCGGGAACTGAACTCAGACTGCCCGCCTTTCCTGCAAGCTTTTACCCACTGTATCATCTTGCCGACCCAACCCTGGGTTTTTATAACTGTCCAGGCTTGTGTTTTCCCAGGGGCGTCCTCTGTTGTGCTATGGCCGATGCAGTGAAGACAGCGGTGGAACGAACAGCCAGCCTTACCCTACCCCATGAGGGCCTTTCTTGGCCTGGGGCCCATGCAGCTCCTTCAGTCACAGGGGCACCAGCTGTGGATGCTGGGAGAGAGGAGCCACGAAGAACTTCCCTTCTCTTTGGACAGACAGAGGGTATGAGACAAACACCACCCTTCAGACCAAGACCTGAGCCCACTCACGCCAACACCCAGAAGGCCCTTTGGAGGGTTGAGGGGCAGGCTCAGGACCATGGGTTCCACAGCCAGCAGGGTGGCCACCATGAACAAGGAGAAGCCACTTCCTTAAATCCTCCCTCCCTTTATTCCTTCCCTCATCTCTGCACTCATCCCAGAACCTCAGGCAGTTCTCACGTGCCACACACCTGTGGCTTTGGGTAAGACAGAAAGGAACAAGGTGGCTACCCAGCTGCCCTTGGGTGCTAACGACAGCACTGCTGCACCCCCAACCCAGAATGGCAGGACTTGGAGAGCAAGGGAGCCAGGGGAAGGGCAACTTCAGAAGGTAGGGAGGACTGGTGGGAAGGCTCTGTGAGAGGGGCCAAGAGGCTGAGACCTGGAGCTAGTCAGGTGATGAGGACCAAGGGGTCAGGGGAGGCTGGTAATGAAGGCCAGGGGACAGCAGACACAGGTAAGAAGGGCAGGGGCCAGGGGGCCAGGGGACCAGGGGAGGCTGGTTTAACCCTGTTCCATCTGCCTCTGCAACCTGTGTGATTCACGCAGCACACTGTCATCCCCTGCACTGGGATGGACACTTCCTACAGGTGGACCAGGGGAAGAGGTGGCTAGGCCCACCATTACGTCACCAAGGGTCCTTCCTGCACTGCTGCCACTGTAAACGCTTGGCACAGAGGTGTCACTGAGCAGGCAAAGTGAATGGTGCAAGCTCGGCAAATGCCCCACCCAGCTCCTCACTAGCCACCCAGCCATCTGTTGAGCTGCTGAGCTGTTTCCAGATGGAGAATCAGGTTCAGCCAGGCGTTTGACTCATTAATCTCAGCACTTGGAAGCTGAGGCAAGGGGGTAGCTATGAATTCAAGACTAGCCTGAGATGCATAGGAAACCTTATCTTGAAACCTGAACCACACAAAGATGAACTAGTCAGAGGCTCAGAGAAACGGTGCCGCCCGCCAGGGTCACACAACCAGCATGTGGCAGAGCTGGGCTTTGAACTTACATCTACCTAGGTTTTTTCTTTCCTTCCCACCCATTGTCCCTCAGGCTGCAAGATGGGGAAGGACAGCGGCAGAGAACAGGGGCCCCCAGCCCTCCTCCTGAGGAAGCAGGTCCCAGGGGGACAGTATCCTCGCCGCTCCATAAATAACCAGGTCCCTGGGCCCTGGCGGCAGTGGCTCTGTGTTATACAAACAGCTCTAATCCCGTCAGTTAGCCTGGATATCAGAGGAGACAAGCTTCTGAGAGGGGAGGCCTAATTGAATGGAATTGAAAAGGCAGTGTGGGGGGCGGGGCCTGGGAGGAGGGACCAGAGCTCACAGTGGCTGGCCGGGCAGGGGCTCTCCGCTGCTGCGCGACCCAGGGTTTCGTGGCCGGCAGGGAGCCAGGCGGTGGGGGGGGGGGGGAGGGGGTGGGGGGGGGGGTCGATGAGGTCGGTGGGGGACCCCAGCCAGGGTGCTCCACCCCTCAGGCCTCCCCTTTATCTGCTGGCTCTGCTGTTCTCTCTCTCTCCCGCGCTGACCCCTTTTCTGCTCTCTCTGTTATCTCAAATAATGTCACTGCCTCTTTAGTATCTATTCATCAGAGCAGAAAGAAGCCAGTACTGACACTGCTAAAAAAAAAAAAAAAATGCCATCTGTGCCTCCCGGGGACAGAGCGAGCTGGGTTCCAAGCGCTGGCGGCACCGGCCGCTGGCGCCCTGCGGCCCCAGCCTGCCATTTCACCGCAGCAGGGTAATCAGATTCCACAGGCGGTCCTCCCACCCTGGGCCCAGAAGTCCTCCCCAGGGCTGCTCTCCCAAGGACTCACCTTGGGGACCTTTTCAGCTCACAAAAACCTTGGCCTGGCCTTTTTTCCCCCTTTTTCTTTGTAATTGGTTTTTCATTCATTCTTAGTAGTATTTAAAAACTGAATTGTATCATGGCAGCCAGATTTTTAGAATCTCTTTTTCAAACTAGACAGAGGAGCCAGGGATGGTGGTGGGAGGTCTGTAATCTCAGCATTCGGAAAGTAGAAACAAGAAGAT